TTGTATTGATTTAATCAATAAATATTATTAATGTTTTATTAACTGGCCTGTCATTTTAGCTCATACTGCCTCTGTCCAACCCAATGTATCCTGGGTATAACGTGAGGTCTGCTGGCTGCAAAGTGATATCCAATGCCCACACTGTACAGTTCATATGACCATGTTAAGAGAGGCTGTTGTCTGGTCATATGGCCGAGGTTACATGGAAGAACCAATAGAACTTTGGCTTGGTTTCACACGGGAACAACAGAAGCCAGAAGGTTAAGAACCCCTGGAATCCCTCTAAATTCAAAATAATCAAATACTGGACCTGAACAGACAAAACAGCAAACCAACCTCTGACATTTTTACTGAATTGTTACACAAACATATGACAAGAAATATAAGAAATATAATTTATTATTATTATTTTTAGCTTTTTTGTGTTGTCTCTGACTTCCAAGCCCAGGCAACAGGGCAGCAGTTGCTCACCAGGTGTAATAAGACACACAGTTCACTGTAATCCACTTCTGAGTGTTGTTTTGGCCCACTTCATCAATCTTCTTTCACATTTTAAACCCATTAGGATGAAGAAAACCTTTATCAACTACATCTTCCTGAGAAGCAGTGTTGAAGAAGACCACCAAAACCAAGTCATGACCAAGACCAGAGTGTATCAAGGCAGAGACAAGACCAAGACTATGAGGGGTTAAGACCAGAGTGTATTGAGACCAAGACTTTGAGACCAAGTCATGACCAAGACCAGAGTGCATCAAGACCAAGACCAGAGTGCATCAAGACCAAGACTTTGAGACCAAGTCATGACCAAGACCAGAGTGTATCGAGACCAAGTCATGAACAAGACCAGAGTGTATCGAGACGAAGACTTTGAGACCAAGTCATGACCAAGACCAGAGTGTATCAAGGCAGAGACAAGACCAAGACTATGAGGGGTTAAGACTAGAGTGTATCGAGACCAAGACTTTGAGACTAAGTCATGACCAAGACCAGAGTGCATCGAGACCAAGACTTTGAGACCAAGACCAGAGTGCATTGAGACCAAGACTTTGAGACCAAGACCAGAGTGCATCAAGGCAGAGACAAGACCAAGACTTGGAGGGTTTGAGACCAAGTCAGGACCAAGACCAGGGTGTATAAAGATCTAGACAAGACCAAGACTATGAGGGGTTGGGACCAAGTCAAGACCAAGCCAGGACAAGATCCATTGAAGACCAGACCAGTGCAAGTCCCACACTGCATGACACACTTACAGTATAGAACACGCAAACCATAGGCCCTCCTCAAATTGATGTAGAAGATCCACATTCCCACAGAAAACAAAGATTCTTCTTCATTCACCTCTTTTATTGCCACATGTTCTGTACATCAAAATGCATCGCAGAGGAGAATTTTACATGTGGGAATTTTCCTTTTTTTTCTATGTAATGATCTGAGCACATACATTTGACGGTCAATGACCAGGCAGTTTGGTAATACGCCCACAGTTGTGGTCTTGAAATAAAATCCAGAGTCCTCTTTGTCTGAGACCGAGATAACACCGAGCAAAAATGCAGACATGACGAGACCGAGGCCTTCGACGAGTGGTCTCAAGACCAACACCGTTCTCAACTACACTACCATAAGCATCACACTGATCTTCCTTCAGATGTTTGGATATTTGAAGTGAACCTAAAGCCGTGTTCCATTAGGAAATTGTAACGCTTGCTTAAGGTGGACCTTGCTTTTGATGAAAAACAATTGATACACTAAATGGAATATGGAAACACCTCTGAATTTGTATTGTATTCAAGCTAACCATTTGGGTTTTCATGCCTGTAAATATTCTGTGTGGTTCAGTCTTACAGCTCTCATCAACCTGGTGATTAACCCACTGCACACTACCAGCACCAAATAGTAGAGACTAGCTGGTGAAAATGGGGGAGCCTTAAGCAGCTAATCAGCCAGATTTGTTTTCTCGGGAGTCGAAAGAGACCAAAACAGAGCTAAAAAGAGAACAATTATTGGACTTGCATTAATCAGGTGGACACAAACATGACCAAAGATGATGCTGCTCTGTCTGCTGGATGTGGAAATAAGCAACTGTTTGCTAATGCGTTAGCCATAACTTTGCAACGTTGATTCATAAGTCGTATTGATGCTAATCTTATCCAGATCAGTGACTAGCAGGCCTTGTATTTACTACTCCATCTCTGCATGCTGTTACACTATTCTTACTTGTATTCTGTGCCAGCATATAATATGATGTGATGGTCTGAATGTATCAGGAGATTTATAGTTCTTGCCTCTTACAGGCTCTGGGATGAACTGGGGCTTTACAAAGCTTTCATTCACCACACTCATTAAATCAATTACTTCCACTTTAAAGAGCAATTATTGTTAGTCTGCCCCTCTAATCTCTGTAAAGCTGCTATTTGGCAAACGTGCAGCACTCACAGTGTACTCCAGTTCAACAGTAGAGCAAGTCATGTATCTCAAATTTGTTTCAATATATTTACTATTTCAAATGTTGGCCTGTATGTTTGTGTTCCAGTGTTGCCTGCAATGTGTACAACAAACATTTTGTACCAAAAGTTGGTTTTAAATTATACTTCTGTCTTGGGGACTTTATGGTGCATTAAAAGTATTGTATTTCTTAATAAACCAATACATTATTCGACTTACAACATATCCATTCCACATATTTGAAATTGGGGAAAAACTCTGCACAAAAAAACAAAAACTTCACTTTCTGAAAACAAAAAATATAGTAAAAGTATAGAACTGCAGTCATGATAACTGCTTGGCAAGTTCTTTTTCTCTGAAAAAGTCTGTGAGATGTGGTTCAAGGCTCGCAGTTTAGAATATTTGAATCACTGATGTGTGCTTTTACATTCAAAGAAAAGAAAGAGCTCCCTGCCCAGCTCCAGTGATGTAACTTGCTTTTCTGGGTTCATTTGACTGTTTTTGGCTCTGATTTGTGTGGATGACATCATACCATCCAGCGGCTGCATACGGTGGAACACAATTTGATGCGTAAAAGCCTTTCACTGATCCTATCAACAACATCAGCAGTGAACATCAGGTTCTGGGTTTGGTCCATTAACTTGGGATTCTGTCAGCTGCAGTCGTACAGGAATAACTCCAGTGGAGAGGCAGAGAGAACATAGACCAGAGTATAAAGGAGCCCATCACTGACCATCACACCCTCCCCCTCTCTGGGGATTGTTTAGTATTACTACTACTATTTAAAGCAGAACGCACCACAAGAAAAAATGGACATTGAAAATGGACAAAACAGTTGTACAGAGGGCCTTTTTGAAAGCATGGGATTTTAGATAGAGGACAATGAACAAGAGGCTGCAGTATAATTAGAGATTATTGAAGGGAAGGTCAAACTAAATATAGTATTGTTGCATTGTGACAAATATAGGATCCAGTGTTTTGGGAGTTTAGGGACTATAGTATTTAGATTTTGATTATCCTTTGTTTTTCTCTCATGCCTCCACAATCAACAAAGAATCAACAATCTGAGAAAGTCTTGAAGAAATGAAATAAATGGAGGCTGTCAAAACATCTCGTTCAGTATATTCCAAGTCTCTTTTATCCGGGCGTAGGCTCACTACTTCCCAAACACATCTTCACCAAAAACTCACTATTCAAAGTTTGCAAACGGATGTTTGTATGTAGTTTTGCTGTTGGTAAATGCTGTCAATTCATCAAGACTTTTCTCATGTTTTGATTCTCCGTTCACCGTGGAGGGATCAGAAAACAACTTTCTTCAAGAATTGAAGGTAACCCGTGGTGAGTAACTGATTACAAATGGTCATTTTGGGGGTCAAGTATTCCTTTAAGCTGCTGATAGAGTATACTACCTTAAGTTTACCAAATGAATGTAATATAATAACCATAAACCCACACACAAAGCCAAGTCCATAATCTGTCAAATACAAAGAAAGACTAAAAACTAAATGTGAGTCATGCCTCTAAAAGCTTACGCAGTCAAACACTGATATGCGATGCACGTAATGAGAGTCTCTCTGAACTCCTGGATGGCTGCAGAGGAGCTGAGTGATGGACAGCAGTGCATCAGCTGTTCAGGCTGCTCCTCCTGTCCCAAACCCAAAGACATTGGCTTAAATGATCCATTATCAGAATGGTTGACCATCGGGCTCATTTTCATCAGTGCACTAGTCATTTCAGCTCTAAAAAGAATGTCTTGTGCTCATAATAGAGAAGCCAGAAGTTCCTTTTTCTTTTACACTGGAGACATCCATTCTGCATATAATAATGCAATTACAAGTATGCAGCCACTGTCAGTGTAAGAAATCCAATATGAACCGAAGACATGTCAAGTCTGTATGAGAGAGGCTCACAGAAGTCACACATTTATTGTGACATTTGATCAATTTAGGCGTGCGTCATTGGTTTGTTGTGGGAAATTATTTTGTGTTTTTCTTAAATCTTGGTGACGTGTTTTTGGATTTAGGGATGATTTCTGTTTGGCTTCTATGTCGAATCTCTTTTGCTTCGTTGTGTTTTCTTCTCCTCCTTACAGTTTGGGACCATGATGAAAATAAAGTGTTTTCACTTTAACATGTGTTTTTTTTCCCTTTGTCTGATTATCCACAAATAAAATCAATCAATCACACTCAAAGTGTGTAAGCTTGTAGTGGTGCTGCCAAGTGAACCGTAGGCTACTATTGTTGTTAACCAGCACTGGGACAGAGAGCCCTTCAGGGACCAGGGACACCGTCGAGGCTCCGGGCTGTGCTCTTTAACACAACGTACTCTTCATGAATGAAATACCTCTTCACAACACTGCAGGCGGTTACGTCGTGTGTAAAACCATTTGGAACCACAACATAAAGTTTGGGCTGCTCCGCGGAGTGAAAAAGCACCCAAACACCGTCCCAAGTAAGTTCCCCAAAACCAGAGAGCTGGCAGCGTGTAGCTCCGCGCAGTTCGCCGTGTTATTAAAGCGGCTGTAACATATCACCGGAGCCGGTCGGGACGCTTCCTACCTTGCAGGTTCTGCACTCGGATGTCGCTGATCTGCCCGATGAATTCCTCACGTTCGAACCAGTCCTCCCACTCGTGTCCAGCCATCTGGAGCGGCGGAGAGTTGCTGCGGGGATCCTGGGCAGGAGCACTAAAGAGCGGAGGAGAATTGTCCGGCCGTCTGACCGAGAGCCATGCGAGCCCGGGGAGCTGACAGAGGCTGAGGGTCTCACTGTCTCACTCACTGGCTGGACATCGCTGGTGTTCACTGCGGGTTTTCTCTCCGTCACATCGCAACGATGGAGCTCCGTGAGGAAAGCCCGAGGGGAGGAGCAAAGAATAGGGCAGGAAGGAGCTGCAGCACCTGGTTGGTATTTCCGAGGTGGGATGGCGCTGATCCAGTGCCCGCCCGCCCCCCCCTCTCTCTCTCTCTCTCTCTCTCTCTCTCTCTCTCTCTCCCCCACCTCTCTCCCTGTCACTCCGTCTTTCTCCCTCTCCTCAATTGAATTCAAAGGGGCATTCATGGAAACATCCATTTTCAAAGCCAAAGAAAAAAACGTGTGTACAATAAGTAAAGATCTACTAACACAGAAGTGTGTGAACAGAGATGAGTAGCACTGCAACATTGTAACAAGATATATCCATAAAATAGGTGAAGTTTAAGTAAAAAATGCAAACAGAATTTGTTTTGATTAGGCTCTTAAAGGGCCGGCGTGTAGCAACAATGGGGATCTATCAGCAGAAATGGAATATAATATTCATAACTATGTTTTCGTTAGTGTACAATCACCTGAAAACTAAGAGTCATTGTGTTTTCATTAGCTATGAATTAGCTCCTCATATCTACATAGGGATCAGGTCTTCTTCACTACAGTCTCTGAACATCTATTGGTCTGACTATATGAGCCTTTGAGGGGCAAGGTGCTATATTTCTGGGGTTCCGGTGTAGCCAGCGGATATCCGGCCCGAAACTTCCTTGTTGTTTACAGTCTGATTAGGAACTTGAGATGCTAGAAAGGAGTTAAGAGAGACGTGTACGACGAGATTGTTTCATGAGTAGCCAGTTTACAAGCTAATTTTAGACCAATAAAAAGCTAAACCATCGTCAGACGATAGACGATGGGTCCAAAGATTGCTGTTCAATCAATGCGTTTTGCCTCTTTTGCCCACCACACAGATTGGTTACCTGCATCTATTCAAAGCCTGCCTGCACATGATTGGTCAATACTCAGACTGCAAACTGAAACCATAATGCTGCTGATGCTACAAACTTGCCCCATTGCCTACAGGTTCTGAATTCATATGCAGATATCTGTTTATAGAGATTATCTTCACAGAGTCCACCGTGTTTCTACAGTAGCCCACAACGGACAAACTAGACACTGGCTCTAGCGAGAGAGACTTTCATGTTTTTACGTTACCTAAAGGCCACAGAAGTTCTTATTAATTTTGACTCAGTCCCACATATATAAATAATCACTAGAGAACCAAATGTGTATTCATCCACCGGTGAAAATAGTCCCCAACAAATTAACTATATTCTCCTGTTTGAGTAACGTTTGACAAAAACTACAGTGACCAGCTGCTTTAGGAATTTGCCTTTTTACATTTTTTTAATGAAACTATATATCTACATCTCCAGGAGGAACGAAAGGGCTTGGGAGTGCCACAGACAGGATGGGAAGCCAGACAGTATTTAGACAGACTAACGCAACAAATTGTTGATAAGAAAATTATAGAATAATGCACTTTTTTTTTGTTGAGTATGTTGCTTAACACTGATATGTCACTTTCACATCCTGTGACTTTGTGTTGTGTAGAGGCCATTCCTGATTACAGTAATAACCAAGTTGAACCAAGTCACTTTAAAGTCCAAACAGAACATGATTGAAGCCTTTCTGGATCATAAACGTCTTCAGTTTCACAACTATAGTCCAGTGAAAACCTGATTCTTTGATTACTACACATGAACTATTATAATGTACACTTATACAGATACATCTATAACGAGCCCCTTTAATAAGCCTTTAACTTCCACCAATAACACGGTGTTATTCTGTAAAACCTGCATGAAATCTGCCTTAGAGCTGATGTTTAAATATATGTAATCTTGGTTAATGTCATAATATCTCACTGCACACTTGTAATTTTTCTTGGCATAAAAGTATAAAACAACCAGCACAAAATGTAAGCTGTCAGTCTTTCCATGTCAAAACAAAATTAAAGGTTAGGAGGAAGTCCCAATACTTTGTGTTGCAAGACAAAACATATTTCTGTTCTGTGCTTTACTGGTATAACAAGAACTCTGAAGCACGTGCAAGCTGGATTACGTGAAAACAAGTCATTATCTTCTGTGGAGCTCTAGCTCATATATGCTCTTATTTCATTTGTGCATAAAACAGCAGCAGAACGAGGCTTCAAAGTGAACAAATAATGTTTCCCTTTCCTGTGCTGCAGTCATTAATTCCAGGACAAAGCTGCGTCTGGTCTCCGTCACCCCACGGGAAATGAGGCTCATAATAGTGAAGCATGTTTATGCATTTCAGACAGACATATTTGAGTTCTCAGTGGAGCGACAAGGACTGACAGGTGTGGGAGACAGACGCTGAAGTGAAAAAGTCCACATTGGTATATTTTTTGGTGATATGAAACCAGGTTAGGTTTCCCCCATATTAAGATAGATAGATAAACTTTATTCATCCCCAGGGGGAAATTAGTTTGTAGCAGCAGCAATTTACAGAGTAAAATATAACGTATGGAATGCACAATATATCCAATACAATAAAATAACAGAGCAGATATTGAATTTGAAGGAATAGATTAATAAAAAATAAGATAAAATAGAATAAAAAATGCACAGTATAATAAAACAGTATTAATTAAATTAACAACTAGGTAAACTAAACAAACTGGACAGTAGAGCAAGGATCACCAACAACAAGCAACAACCATGTAGCATTGTTGTAGTCATGTGAAGGACGATGATCTGGCCCGAGGTGATTTATTATAAAGTCTAATGGCAGAGGGCAGGAATGTTCTCCTGTATCGGTCCTTGTGACAGCGGAGCTGGATCAGTCTATTGGAGAAAGTGCTCTGCTGTCCCTGCAGTAGGTGGTGGAGAGGGTGGTCCGGGTTATCCAACATGGATGATAGTTTCTTCAGTGTCCTCTCCACCACCTCTTCCAGATAGTCTTGTTTGCAGCCAATGATGGAGCCGGCCTTCTTAACCAGTTTGTTAAGTCTGTTGGTGTCTCAGGCTCCAATGCTGCTCCCCCAGCAGACTACGGAGAAGTACAGTGCACTGGCGACAACAGACTGGTAGAACATCTCCAACATCTTGCTGCACACGTGGAAGGATCGAAGTTTCCTCAAGAAAAAGAGTCGACTCATCCCCTTCTTGTACACAGCGTTGATGTTGGTCTTCCAGTTCAGTCTGCTGTCGATGGAGACACCCAGGAACTTGTACTCCTCCACCATGTCCACATCCTCTCCCAGAACTCTCAGCGGTTGTGAAGCCGTCGTCTTCCTCCTGAAGTCGACCACCATCTCTCTGGTCTTGGCCACGTTCAGACGCAGGTGATTTCTACCGGCCCACTCCACAAAGTCAACCACTACTGCCCTGTACTCCTCCTCCCGTCCGTCCCTTATACACCCGACCACTGCAGAGTCATCAGAGAACTTCTGCAGATGGCATGACCCCGAGTTGTACTGGAAGTCAGTGGTGTACAAGGTGAACAGGAAGGGAGACAGAACAGTTCCCTGTGGAGCTCCAGTATCACTGACCACCACATCAGACAGCACACGGCCCAGTCGGACAAACTGTGGTCTGCCCGTGAGGTAGTCAGTGATCCAGGAGACGGTGGACGCGTTAACCCCCACCACCCGCAGCTTCTCACTCAGCAGCACTGGTTGGATGGTGTTGAATGCACTGGAGAAATCAAAGAAAGTGATTCTCACAGAGCCACCGGATCCGTCCAGGTGCGACTGAGCTCGTTGCAGCAGGTAGATGATGGCGTCATCCACTCCCACATGAGGCTGGTATGCAAATTGAAGAGGGTCCAGTGATGGTTTCATCTGCGGTCGGAGGTGGGCCAAGACTAGCCTCTCCAGCACCTTCATCACATGAGATGTGAGGGCAACTGGTCGGTAGTCATTGAGGCCAGATGGTGTCGTCTTCTTAGGTACGGGAACCAGGCACGACGTCTTCCACAGCACCGGGACTTCCTCCTGCTTCAGGCTCAGGTTGTAGAGGTGTTGCAGAACATCAGACAGCTGGCTGGCGCAGGTCTTCAGGACCCTGGGGCTGATGCCATCAGGTCCTGCAGCCTTGCCTTGGTGGAGTCTCTCCAGCTGTCTTCTCACCTGGCCAGTCGTCACAGAGAGGGGGGTCATAGTGTCGGTGGTGGCAGAGCCCTTTGAAGTGGAGGGCTCTGAGTCCATGCAGCTCACAGGGGGGACAGAGGGGAAGGTGTTTGGGAGGTGTGGTGTGTGGAGGAGACAGATGAGGGCTCTGAGCTAAACCTATTGAAGAAAGAGTTTAGCTTGTTGGCCCTCTCCAGGGAGCCCCCTGGTTGTCTACCTCCAACCTTGAAGCCAGTAATCTGCTTCATCCCCGTCCACACTTCCCTGACGTTGTTCTGCTGGAGTTTGGCCTCCAGCTTCCTCCTATAGTAGTCCTTGCACGCCCTGAGCTTCACCTTCAGACGCGCTGGACTGTCCTGATCTCCTCCCTGTCCCCAGACCTGAAAGCTGCTTTCTTCTTGTTAAGAAGAGCTTTCAGGTCACTGGTGATCCAAGGTTTAACAGCGTAGGCCACGGGTGAACAGTTATTCATTATATTAATATGTGTGAGGTATACAGCATCCCTTCATCAAGATTACATTGTTCAGATTTTAGGCAGCAAAGCTTAAAGGTCGACTCCGTCTGCATTCTTTCCCGGGTTTTTCAAATGGAAACTGTCATGACCTGGCTCTGACTGTCATGACCTAATCAGGGAGATGCAGACAGTTTACCAAAAGCAACGAGTTTTATTAGACATAAACAAGACGTCTAACGACAAATGGTGGTTGGATCGAGCCGTCCTCGTTCCTCCATGGGGTGATAGGGGAGCCTGGTTGCCAGGAAAGCGGAGCCTTATAGTGGGAGCGCACCGGGCCCAGGTGCCTCCACTTAGGGTGATCACCACCTCTGGTACCTGCAGGCTTAAAGGAACATACAAGTAACCAAGTTAGGGAACCGTCACAGAAACCGTTAGCAAAGAACGGTGACGTGGGTTACCAAAGTGAGCTAATCTATAAGGTTATAAATAATGTGAACGCTAGCACTAGCTGAGTCAACGTTAGCTGCACTAAGTTTGGAAATAACAAAAGGATTTTGTCTGGACTTTTTGAAGTGGGGTTGTATGTATACTCTTGTGTTCTTTGAGTTGA